TAGCGTCTACGGAATCGTTGCTGTCCGGGATGCCCTGGAGCCGCGGCGGAATCTCGTGTTTAATCGTCCCGGCAGAGTTAATGATGCTCTCACGGTTGATCGGGAATCCTTTACCTTGCCTCTTTTGTAGTCCTTGTCGAGGAATGTACATGATAAGGGAGAGGGCATTGCTAGAAGTTGATCTTTGGGTGAAGGAGGAAGGGGATGGGTTATCCGACAAACGGCTACTTTCTGTGTATGCCGAGATCGATGGGGGGTATGACTTGGATGAACTGTTGGATGAAGAGGTTTCTAGTGACCTTGGCAGCTTGGTCGTCGACTATCTGTTACTTGATGAGAGTGTTGAGGTTGTAATACAAGTCTCTGCAAAGATTGACCGCCCTCACATGTGAGATTCACCCGTTCACTAGTGGCTTTGATCGGGAGATTGTGTTGTCTGATGATAAGTTCTCTGGGAATGGAAAATTGTTCCGGCATGTCGTCGCCGTGAAGGCCGAGGGGAAATTGGATGTTTGCTTAAAATTGGAGGAATCATTGTTTTGGTGGACTTTAGAGGAAGGAGTTGTTGGAGCTGTTAGGTCCCTTGATGACCGAGTGTTAGACTATGCGCAGTTTGATGTAAGGGTGCTTTTTGCTCCTAAGAACGTTACCAGGGCTCGGTGAAACATAAAGCGAACTGAACAAGACATACCGTTCTGTAATATCCATGTTTTTCTATTCTTTACGTTATTTACTATTTGAATATCCTTTTGTAAGGCTCCTAGAGGTTTGACGCCTGACTTTTATATGTTACTCATGGCTTCTTTGATTCGTAGGATTCTAGAAATGTGGGAATAGAAAAAATATATAGGAACGATGCTCATCCCAGTTTTACAGGATTTAGGATTGTTTGATAGCATCATCGGGAAAACAAAGGAGTCTTTCAAAAAGGTTTGAGTGGATACTAAAAATCCTATGAAAGTAGTACAAAGAAATCATTAAAAAAAGTTTCTATATGATTCAATCCTATGAATCAAACAACCCACATAGGAAAAAAATCCCCATGATTCTAATCCTCCAAAATTCCTATGAAAATTCTTTGAATCAGTTGAGCCCCTTGTTCAGTTGTGGCTTTATTTATAAAGTGGGGCGAAAGCCTGTTTATAGATCAATGGAGCCCTTATGTGTTAATAAGAATGTGTGCATATTAAATCAGGACTTTTTTTACAAATTCATGAATACTTTTTGAATTCACAAACATTTTTTAAAATGGCGTACATTGTTTTGGAACTCGTCAACAAGTTTTTATGCATAGGCGAACATTTCTTGAAATTTGGGAACAAATTTTCATATTCAGAAACAGTTTGTGTTTGTGACGAACATTTTTCTGAATTCATGAATGTTTTTTTGAATCAGTGAAAAAAACTTGGATTTTGTTTAAATTCTCAAACATTGTTTTGATTATTTTCTATAAATGTGTGGACATTTTTTGTAGACATGAACCTTTATTTTTGAATCTCGAACATTTTTTGAATCGATGAACGTTAAAAAAAACTCATGAACATTTTATAAATTCATGATTTTTTAAAAAGACAAGAACACACATATAACAAAGTGTGCATCCCCATATATACAAGATCAAGCGCCTGTTCTGGTGGCTTGCTCGCACAGCAATGTGCCACAGTTTGCGGGTTTGCATCCTTGCGGCACGTTTTTTTTTCTTTTTTTCTCTGCCCATTGATATATGGGCTCTATACAGACGTCATCTAAGCTGACAGGTGTCGCGGGAGCAACTAGTTGACTAGCGCTCCTTTGTGCACTCCCTTTAGATTATTTTTTCGCACGTGTTTTCGGCTTTTTAAATGGTTTTTCTCTAGGGTTTTTTCAATGTTTTGGTTTCCACCAGTCTTCCTTAGCTTTTGGGCACAAATAAATTTAAAAAAAATATTTGTGTGGAAAAACACATTTTTTTGCTTTCGCGAGAGGCACGGTTTTATTTTTGAGAGAGCCACAACCATGCCTCTCGAAAACGGAAAAAAATATGTTTTATGTTTTTTCTTCCGCAATAGGCACGGCTTTGCTTCCGCGAGAGGCATGGTTTTACTTTCGTGAGAGGCATGACCGTGCCTCTAAAAAAATGCATTTTCTGTTTTTTTTCTTTTGCGAGAGGCATGGTTTTGCTTACGCCAAAGACACAATCGTGCCTCTCGGAAACGAAAAAAAAACGCATTTTCTGTTTTTTCCTTCCGCGAGAGGCACGACCGTGCCTCTCGAAAATGAAAAAAACGCGTTGACAGTATTTTTCCCTTCTGCGAGCCTGTGCCTCTCGGAAACGGAAAAAATGGGTTTTCTATTTTTTTTCTTCCACGAAGGCACGACAGTGCCTCTTTAGAAAAGGGAAAAAACTGTGCTCACGGTTTGGGTTTTTTTGTGAAAAATAGTTCGTTAAAATCTGTCAACATCAGGATCTAGTTTGGAAGATCTTGGCGCGAGGAGTCCAATGGCGAAAACTATTCAAGATTTGGAAGCACAGTTTAAGACATAAAACGTTTTGATTAAATGCATCTACGAAAAAAAAGATAAAACTCTCATTTTGTGACAAGTGGCGCTAATGCAGCGCGCCACTTATCACAACCTGGAAAGGTGGGGGTGATCTTTGCGAGGAGTACTCCTCAATTATTGATTTCGACGTCTCGCCTACGTAAATTCGAGATACTATGTAACATATAGAGTCATGACTGTTGTTTCAACCTCAGAGAGCGTATTGATGACATATTTTCGTGTACTGGAACCGTATTGAAGCAATACACAAGTTCTAGGACCAAATTGGATGTCACCAGTGACTACGAGAACTATAGATGCAATTATCTAACATTACAAACCCCCACGGGGCACAGACGGACGACCTGACCACAAACGCCAAACAGTTGACCAAGGCATCGAGGACATTGTAGCTCTGATTTTGAAACGGGGCATTCCTGAGTCACTGGTGGAGGTTGGTGCCTGGCACATTTTGTGGCGAAGAAGTGAATTATGCAAGGAAGAAACAGTGTGAACGCTAGAAAGTAATGTCTTTCCCATACATGTGATCACATTTATTTTGCCAGATCCGAGGTGCCGACCGAGAAACAAAATTTGCTAAATTTTGCCAAATTTAACCATGCACGGAGATCTGTGGTCTCTCCGCCTCCCGGCGCCGGTATCTGCCAGGTAGACCACCGACGGAATTAGCCGTGAGGACGAGGGCCGTGTTACATGCTAGCTAGGGGTTTCGTTTTTCTTTAAGAGCACATTTGCGTTTCTCAAAAAATGAAAAGAGAAAGAAGGAGACCACAAGTTTTGGACCATGACCATGTCGCCTGACACCGATAAGTGCCGGCATTTCCTCTGATCGAAATCGGTTTCCGAGTTTCGACCGTGTCGCCCGCCGGAGACCGATGGCTCTGGCCACGCACAGCGACGTCCCCAGTTAAACTAGCGCTTTACCCCGCCGGACAAACAAAAAAGGTTTTTAATCAATCATCAACCAGCACTGCCGCCGCTGGCAAAACAAAAACATCTTCAAACATAAGGATCGGCTAACAATAACCTAACAATCGGTCGCTGTCTCGGCGCCGATTGACGGCGACAACGGCAGCTTCCGGGCAGCTTCGCGCGCTCGTCCGGAGCGTTGCGGCTAAGCTAGGGATCGCGCCCCCCCGCGTTGTGTTCGCCGACACGTCGCCGGCTCGCTTTGCTTCCCTCTCTTCTTTTCCTCCCTGCCTTAATCGTCGAGCGGTCCGGGTCGAGGTCGGCCACTCGACCCACTCATGATGCCCCTTTGTACTCCACTCACCGCTGCTGGTTGATCGTTTCAAAACACTAGCTAGGGTGTGAGAGGAAAGCGTGGGCGGCCAATCGGGTGCGCACGCGTGGGGGTGCACGTGGCAGCCATCGTGTGGCTAGGCACCGCACTATGTTCTCGTAAAATTAATGTCATGTCGCGAAGCAACATGCGGTTAGATGGTTAGAAGAACAATGTTGTTCCAGTTTATCAGAAACCAAATCTTGAAGCTCGCGTTTGTTCTGAATTCGATTTCCGGCGATATGCGTTTAGTAGGAGGAGATGTTCTCGTTGACTACGAGACACGTAGGATGACTTTGTAAAATCACATGATGACATGCCAGCTTAGTCTTTCGGAGATGCTCGTAGGGGTATGTGTGTGCATTCGTAGGGTTGAGTGTATACATGTATGAGCGTTTGTGTCGGTAATGTGTTAAAAAATAATTACTATCATGTCAGTAATATGGTTGTTAATTGCGGCGTCGAGTCACTGGGTGAGCAGGTCGCACGGATCTCTCGCCCCGTCGCTCGCCGGGTCTCCATCCTTCTTTGACCGATTAACCTAATCGGCCGAACTATGCTAAACAAACGCGCGCGTCGACGTCGTGTCCGGCCCAGCGATAGCAGCTAGTACCAGCTCGCACCCCCTCTCTCCGCCTACATATGCGAGGAGCCCATCAATGGAGCAACAAGAAAGAAGCTCACCATCGGAGTTGGAGCTAGGAGAAGGAGTTCTCGCCGCAAAGCATACTGCAGGCCAGGAAAGAAAGTAAGAAGGGAGGGGCACATGACGTGCGCGCTGGCACCGGGCTCGCCGGTCTTCTCGCCGTCCCGGCTCGGCCTGTTGGAGCAGCTGCAGCTCCAGAACCACCACGGCTGCTCCAGCAGCGGCGCCTGCTTCCTCCCCTCCTCGCCTCTCCGCCCCTTCGCCCACCTCCGCGCGCGCATCCACCCCGAGCCCTCCCCGTGCGCCGTCCAGCCGCCGCCCGCCGCCAAGGCCGCGGACCCTTCCTCTTCCCCTGCTGTTAAAGCCCCGGTCAAGCGTCGCCGCCCGGCGCCTCTGCTCGTGCCGGCCGCGGCCACCGTCGCGCCGGCGGTGCTGGAGGCCGCCGCGGCGACCGGGGTGGAGGAGGTGGCCGAGCAGGGCGAGGGCTTCGCGGCCTTCTGCCGGAGGGGCAAGGGCCGCAAGCGGGTCGAGATGGAGGACCGCCACGTCGCTGCCGTCGCGCTCGCCGGGGACCGCGCGCAGGCCCTCTTCGGCGTGTTCGACGGCCACGGCGGGAAGGGCGCCGTGGAGTTCGCCGCGGACAACATGCCGCGGATCGTGGCGGAGGAGCTTGAGAGGTCGGCGCGAAGCGGAGGACGCGCGGCGGTGGAGGGCGCCGTCCGGCGTGCGTACCTGCGCACGGACGAGGAGTTCTCCACCACCTCCTCCAAGAACCGGGAGCAGGCGGGCGGCGGGGCCTGCTGCGTGACGGCGCTGCTCCGCGAGGGCGGGCGGCAGCTGGTGGTGTCGGGCGCCGGGGACTGCCGCGCGGTGCTGAGCCGCGGCGGCAGGGCGGAGGCGCTCACCGACGACCACCGAGCGTCGCGGCAGGACGAGCGGGACCGGATCGAGGCGCTGAAGGGCGGGCTGGTGCTCAACTGCCGCGGCGTATGGCGGGTGCAGGGCTCGCTGGCCGTGACCCGGGGCATCGGCGACGCGCACCTCAAGCCGTGGGTGGTGGCGGAGCCGGAGACGAGGACGGTCGACGTGGGCGCCGACTGCGAGCTGCTCATCCTCGCCTCCGACGGGCTGTGGGACAAGGTGGGCAGCCAGGAGGCCGTCGACGCGGCCGCCGCCTCCTCCGGCGACCTGCCCGCCGCGTGCCGCCGGCTCGTCGACATGGCCGTGTCCAGGGGCTCCTCCGACGACATCAGCGTCCTCGTCGTCCAGCTCCAGCGCCGTCCTCTCCGATAAGACTGCAGTAGTAGTAGTAGTAGTAAGAGTTTAATTAACACGCGAGAAGATATGCATCGGCGGCGCCATGGATGATCACCCTACGTGTAGATAGAGAGCTTTTTGACGTCGTCTTTCTCGTCCCCGGCCGCTCGATCCGGCTGCTGGTGCTTGTAACAAGATCAAGCACTGTTAGTGCTAATAATCATCATCCGGTTGAGATTGCAATCACCCTAGACGGGAATAATCTTCTGAAAAACAATCTTCAGTTAAAAGGGCAGAGATGTATCACCATGTGTGATCTTGTGTTCATAGTATACTCTCGGAGTTGGAACGTAGTGCAACACACGCAAAGTCTGTGATTCCACTCCAAAACGAACAAAAGTACTACGAAACATACGACAACTGGGCATCAGATTCAACGGAACGCCGTTGAACCATCAAAATAATCGATCTTGACCAAGAATGTTAGTTCGAGGGTGCACAAGTGTGCCGCGTAAACCAGAAGGAAAACAAAAAATTCAGTCTTGGATTTTATTCCCGGTCTTGCAACAGCTCATTGCCACTTTGATTTAAACAACCACATTTTTGTTCTGGAACAAGCAAAACAACTCTGCCGCCCTCTGCTCATGGAAAGTCGGTGGTCTGGGAGGTACAGATTCAAAACCTCTGCCAACTAGTAGAAGACTAACCCAAAACTGAGCACTCAGACCGCGAGGTTCCTTGTGATAGAATCAGTTCATCAGCATTTAAGTCCTAGACTTAGACACCACGTGGAACTGAAGCAATGGTGCTTTGAAGAATTTCTAGAGGCGGAAGGAAACTGAGATGATGATTCTGGCGATCGGCCTAATAAGGGATTGCAGTTCTGGTTCTGATGAATCTCATGAGCCATGAGGCACGCGGTTTGAGTTCAAATGGCGATTGAGCAACCAGAGTCCTTATGACTGAAATAGTGGGCATCAAAGGGAAGGAATAACATGGATGACACTGTATAGCAGATTCTTCATGATCCCAACAACTTCTCCAGTTTCAGAATCATAGCCTTTGATGGGACTTTATCTCTCAAATTTACAAAAAGAATTTGGTGGGAAGAGCTTCTCCTTCATCAAGTGGTTTTATCAGCAAATGCATAAAGTGATCTGGAAGTTCAGTTTGCTCAGACGCTGGGCGTTTTCTGGAGGAATATGAAGTGGCAATGCCCGAAGCAGTTCACTTATGGGGGCTTTGTAGTGTGTGTATTCCGTCATCCAGTCAATGGCCTATGTGGCGTAATCTGATGCATCACCTGATCTATGAATGATAGCATAGAACTGGAGGATCACTTTTCATTCCAATCACACACATCAGAACAGAAGGCAAGAAGACCAGCATCATGCAATACCATCAACTCCGGAGTGAAGCAATTGATTGATTCCATATCCAAATGAGAAATATCATGGTGTGTGAAGACTTTGTTCTTATCAAAGAGGAGAGAGGCATAAAATATGACTTGATGAGCCGTCCTGAAACTTAGTCTTTGGATCTTTGCATGATCATAGGATGAGTCATCAATGAAGAGATTCTTCTTGCTGAAGAAATCTTCCTTGTTGAATTTCGGCCGAGTGCCAGCCCTTCCAATTTTTGGCATTGCAGGCTTCGGCTGCAGATTCACCTTTGTTGGACTCGCATCCAATACGGGGCGAGGAGAGCCAATAAAGTCATTATGGTATGTTATCAAGTTAGCCTTGACAATTTCTTCAGCCATAGCAAGTGACATAGTTTCCATGTCAGTAGATTGCACGGACGCTTCTATGTTGATTGGGGAATTTTCATCAGTAGTTGCTTAATTTTCTTCAGCATTTGGCTCTTGCTGAGCAGCATCACCAGCAACATTTTCTTCAGGGATGGTCTGAAGAGGAGTGTGTCGCTCTTCAGAACTACCAAAAACTTCTTCTGTTTGGCATGGCAACTGAGGCAATTGCATCAGAGGTGTGTTCAGAGAAGAATTTGGGTGTTCTTCTTCCCAAAATTCATCACGGATGAGTGGAGTTGTGGGCTTGTGGCATTGTCAATGTCCACATCTTCTTCTTCTTCAACTTCAGCCTCTTCAGCCGTTAACTGAGGCTGGGGCGACGATACCATGTGTGGCGTTGCATTTGTGTCAACATCATTGCCCTCATCTACCTGCTATGAGGAAGCAGCAGGAATTTCTTCACCTTCACGTTCTTTAGAGAGCGGAATCAGGCGACGGTCAGTAACTTCAACTGTGGGTGGCGTTGTGGCCAATGGCTCAACATAAATTGGTGCCGTTGTAGCACTTACAACAGTCTTCAACTTCTTCACAGTTTCAACACCAGCAGGATCTGGAGATTTTCCTCTCTTCAGAGCTTCATTCTCGGCAACCTTGGTCTTCTTCAGTTCTGATGCAGAAAGAAGAGTGGTTGTCTTCACACATGAAGAATTTGCAGGAGGAATGACTGTTGAGTTGGCAGGTTCATCAGGAATCACTGTCGGAGAAGGAGCTGTTTCGTCAGGCTCTACAATTTCTTGAGCCACCATCGTTTCATCAGGCGGGGGTGCAGAAGAACTGGCATGAAGATTTTGAGACTGCACTTGAGAATGCATGTGGTTGTAGTCTTCCGTGATCTTCAACACTTGTGCACTGAGCCGATCCTTGGTACCAAAGCAATAATCTACTTCTCTGTTGAATCCATCTTCCATCTGATGAATTTCAGATTGCAAGGCCAGCAGTTCCGCAGGAGTAATTGTGAGCAATAATCTACTTCTCTGTCTGAAGGTCTTTCTCAACTCAAGTCTGACAGCAGGTCAGTGCACAAGTATAGTCCTTTTGAGCAAGCAATTGTTACTTTAGACGACATGCACTAAGAAATAAGAACTCTGAAAGGTAAGCCTGCGGCTGGATGTAAAAGGCTCATGTATAAGCAATGGCTGGAACATTTGTTGTTGCGACATGCACTAAGAAATAAGAACCGCCAAGGAGAATACGAGGAACCCACCAGTCAGGATGATCCTGGAACAGATATAGTCAGAATCTGGCACCAACCCAGACACTATTGTTGTTACTTGTCTTGCGGATGGAAACCAAATGCATATCACAACGGGACTAGGTAGGTATATGACTTAAACCCATTTGTTCCATTTCTTTTGTTTGACTGAAAGACCCGAACCAAGACTGCACGACCACATCATAAACGATTGGTAATAATTAAGGCTGGTTCTGAGTTCTGCAAAAGATTTTGATGCTGCATACCTATCAAGAACATCTTGCCGTTGCATCGTTGAGAGCAAACCACGGGTGCGCATCAGCAGAGAGCGGTGCCCTTGATATTCACCTTCAGCCTTTCGGAGAACACTTGTCGATTCATCTGCAAAAAAAAAAAAAAAAGAAATTCAAATTAGCTAGCAACTTGGCCTTGATAGGTCTGGAAATGCGTTAAAACGGCAGAAAAAGAATAGTTCTTGTTCATATGGAAAACCAGCACAGACTATTCCATGGCTCCTTAATAACAAATTAATAACCATAAAAAGTCTATAATCAAATAACAGCACATCTGTAAGGAAATCTTGACCAAGCTTAAACACGCAGAATCTTACAAGTGAGCCTCCTAATTAAGAACAGGCTTAATCACAGGAAAACTTACCAAACGTTGACAAGGTATTAGCACTTCTCTCCACTTCCTGTCACATCTATAGTAAATTACTTCTGGACTTACGACTAGGAAATAATCATTACCATATGACATATCAACTGAACACGCAGGGGTGCTAACCTGAACCATCAACTGCCGAGACCGACGGAGGCTCTCAGTAATACTTTCTGCAGCGGAGGTCATCCCAGCCTTTGTCCTATATCATTTGGCAGGTTCGCGTTCATTGTGCAAACATAAATTATAGAATTAAACAATAAATATAAAATGGTGGTTCTTTAATTAGTGCAATGTGATTCGATTTTGAGGTCATATGCAAGTGTTACATCAACACAACAATTTCTAGTTTGTTGACGATATTTCATATTGGCAAAACCACCTGCAAGTCAGCAGAACCACTAATGGGTAGATGAGTAAATAACCAGTTTCATAATTCAAAGAGTTAAATAGACTTTCTCAACAGCCCGACTGCCCGAGTAAGGAACTTAAAAATGTCGCTTTGGAACTGAAATTCACAACCGGTGTCTTTGGAGGCCTTCTGGAGTCTACTCTTGCAGGAAATCCCCGTGAAACTGAACAGATCATCAAACACATTCTACAACTGACGTCTAAAATATTCCCATAGACCAGTAATACAAAGGCCGCATTTAATAAACTTACTGGAGATTACATCTCCGAATAGTGAACTCTTTTCCGTCTCCCAGAAGAAGCTCCCTCTAAGATAACGCAAAATTAGAATGCGAGAAGGCCTTAAATTAGAGAGGCAAGCTAGCATTGCTCAAGTAATAAAGTATCAAATTAACTCTGAAGAAAAATCGCACACCTCTTCTTGAGCAGCTTTTCCAATGTTTACTTTTGCTTGCAAGTTGGCACTCCTCAGGCTCACTCGCAGCCTGAAAACATAAAATCAGTTATGTACAAATACTAAAGAAGCAAATGATTTTTTTTTCTAAGAATAGCTTACCTCTGATATTGTTCCTTCCATGACCCTAAGGTTGCCGGGCCAGACTGAACTTCTTCAAAAGTGGGTAGCTGCTCTGCTAGAAGATCAAGCCTGCACTGCAGTGAATTGAGCAATTACAGTGCATCCTGTGCAGAACCGTTCAACCTAGGAAGAGACCTCGCTTCTTCTGTCCCTTTCCCCATCTTCCCACAGGATTCAATAGCAGCAATGCACACCTCAAGCTGTGCTGCTAATTGGCCCCATTCCTTTTTCAGGTTTTCAACGGCTTGCGTGACCTCATCCATCTGTATTATTTGAATAGATCAATTCAGCGAATTTACTATGCTGCTACTAATGAAGCAATAACTGGTTAAAGACGAGACTTGTTGTAACAAAAACAGCAGTATCATGGAAGAAACTTTCAATTG